AAAAAAGCAAGCTCTACTCAAGTAAATATGAAGAAAAGGTAGTTAAAATCTCAAAAATCTCTTTTCCAGTCTCTGTAGGAAGAGGAGATAAGTGGTTCTGGATTCTTGACACATAGTCTGGAGGTTACAGAAAAAGATAAGTACTTAAAAAAGAAAGAGATAGAGACAAAGATCCTTTGAGAAGTCAGGAAGCAGCCTCAGATTTATCATAGGTGTATTACATATGAAATGAAAGGACACCTTGTCTTTGTCCATATAGGCAAAATAATATGCTATGCCCAAACTCTGAAAATAATAATTCTCTCTTCCTTATTGTTTCCTAAGTATCTACTTTTAACAGTTTCTTCTTTTCCTTCAGGTATTTTATAGCACACAACAATTACTGTGTACTACCCACCCCTTTCTCTCAGTCTTGCAAGCATACACAAACAAATAGTTCTGTAAACATAAACAAATAAACCCTGCCATTCACCGAAAATGTGTTCCTGAAAAATGAAACACTTGGCAATTCAAAAGAGAGCAAGCCGATTTTACCCATAAGAGTTAATACAACTGGTGCACACAGCAATTTAAAAAATACACATGGAGACAGTGTACGTGATGGACAGGCAGAAATAAATCCTGTAGAAAATAGGAACACAAAATGGGAGAGATGCTGACATTTGGAAATGCAAAGCTGCTTTTGAAAAATCTCAGGTACTTCAGCTATGAAACTGAACACCTGATCATCATCATATTTTTCCATCCTTCACCTTTGATTGGCTTGCTTCATCTGAGAAAGATGAAATTACCAAAAAAATAAAACTGTTTAGGAAGAAGCTCAATGAACTCTCTTCACTAGAGATTGCCCAAAGAATTGTCCACATTGTTCCAGACCATCTATAATGCTGTTCTCAAGAGCATGGGAAAGAAAAGGCTTCTTTCATACTTCCCCTTGGCTTAAAGAACATCTAGCATTAGCAGGATTAAGGGACTGGATTCTACAGCTAAATTTGATCAGATAGATATTAGACTGCCAACAATTCATTTAAAGCGTGAACACAAGAAATCACTGTGACCTTTTAAGAACATTCAAAAAAAGGGGAAGGAGGAAGAATCAAGCATGAAATTACTGCAGAGTAAACATTATGACAGGCTAAAACAAATACTTACCAAAGTTCAGGTCTAGGGAATTTCTGATTTCTTTCAGAGCTTGGCTAACACAACCAAAAGATAACATCTATATAAATAATTCTGAGGGCTTTCATGGGACCCAAAGCTAATCACACCACAGTCTAAACCTGTTTTTCCTAAAAGTTGCCAACATTTTTTGCAGGTGGTCTTTTAAAGCATTAATAATCTCTACACTGCACTTCTAGGCAGTCCACAATAAAATACAATTGTGTAAACGTGCCTGCCTTAGAAATGCCTCTCAGGACAAGAACAAGCCTTGGAAAGGGATTCAGAAAAGTAATATGAAACGCTAACAAAACACTCAACTTTAATATTTTGCCATAATAAGCAAAGATGAAGCTGGATTATTCCTTGGCATGAAAGACTCTTTGTGTCTTCAGAGATGAAACCAGACTTTTCTCACTGAAAGGATGAGAGGTAGCAGGCACAAACTGACACCTAAGAACGTAAGAAAAAGCTGGGGTTTTTTACCATGACAGTGGCTGAACACTGGCTCAAACAAGTTCTGGAGACTCCATCCTTGGTGATATTTGAAACCAAACTGGACATGGCCCCAAGCAACCTGTTCTTCTTGACCCTACACCAAGCAGACATGGCTGAATAGAAAATGTCCTGAGATTCCTTCTGACCTCAGCAATCCTGAGATTCTGTAAAGTTGGGAAAATGAGGTTTTGGTGGCATTCTTTAAGTTCAGAATACAGGTGATACAGTGATGTGCATGGCCTCTTCTCCACTATTGTGTTGTGTATACAAAGAAGTGTCAGTATGACACTGACACCCTTATCACAGCAATGGCTAATAATTTATATTAGTGTAGTGGGCACATCAGTAGAAAGGGAATGCTGCATCATTATCACCTCAGCATCACAGAGAGTAAACCAGCTGTATTATCATCAACCATTCCAAAGAATCCAGAAACCAATGTGGTACACTGGGTAAGATTATTTATACCAGATATTGAGTGTAGAGTGGAAAAGATTGTAAAACATGCTGAAAATTAACAAATGTTGCATGCAAGGCAGACATAAGACCATTATATGCCATTTTTAAGCATCATGCAGTAAACTGTTTAACACTGTGTTTATTGTATGGCAGTTGCTGGTTAAACTAACAGTAAAAGAAACAAACAAGAGGAAAAAAACAGACTAAAGAACCTGCAGATGCCTTCTCGACAGTAAGGCACTGAAAGACCTGCCACCCTCTAGCTCAGTTTTCAGAAAAGTTTGAGACTGCTGCATTCCACTTCCTGAACACAGCAGCTTTCGATTTTGGTCCCAAGGAAGAGAAAAGCAGCTGTGAAAAAAAGACTTCGTTTGACTCTGCACTTTTAAGGCAACTCATCTAGAAAAGACCAAAACAGAGTCAAAACACAGCAGCAAGGCTGTGAAATGTGGTTGGCTGTAAAATGACCCAAATGGAATACCAGCATGAAAAATACCAGGCAAATCACATCCTTCAGCCCATCAAAAGCAGGTGGGAGAGTATGAAACCTAAGAGTTGATATAGTCCTCTAGATTGTAACCAATAAGTACTTACCAGGATGAATCCTAACTACTCTTTGGGGTCCTGATTACAGATCTCTACTGTCATCACCAAGGAGAGATGAATTACCTATTAACTCAGGCATTCGGATACAGACTTCCTATTGCTTTTGTGGATAATATTACACAGGTATTTGAAAAGAAAATGATACACTGTTATTTTTCCTCCTGGAGTATCTACCAGGCATATTGCAGTATTTATGGATCCAGTTTCACAATCTCTTTAGAGCAGTAGATTTAGGGAATGCTGTCTAAACAGGTCATCCTATCTGCTCTCATCTTTCTACCCACATTACTAAACTGGTAACGTGAGGACAACTAGGCATGTGTTCTAAATATTGCCTAAACAATTATTTTATTTTATATGATTCACATACTGTAGTGTGGTCTATAACCTAGATTCAAATGTGAGAGAAGAAGACACTCAACTATATCCTGGACGGTGGGCCAGGGGAAGCAGAAATTATAACATTCAGTGAAACTAGAGAAATAGACAGCTACAACCTGAAGTTAACTGAGAATTAATGAGAGAGTAGAAAGTAAAGTAGAATAAATCACAAAAAGCTCCTATGTTTTGGCAGAAAAGTATGGAAAGAGAATAAACGTGCTATCACACATTAATTATGCTTAACTACACATTAATTAACGTTTGTAAACAAAAAAATAGATGGTTGTTGAAGTCTGTACACATGCTGTTCAGGTAGAGGTTCCATGCTTGTCTAGCAATGCATCTGCGGTGACCATCTGGCACATTTTCATGGGTGCAAAGGTGGGAAGAGAACTGCCTGCACAGACGGGTGTAAAGAGTGCCAAGGAATAAGGGCTACAGGGAATGTTGGGCAGGTCTTGTGCAGTCACAGAGAAACCGAAGAAAAGGCTCATTGTCCCGACTACCTGGAGCAGTGCATAATAACGCGCACATGATGAAAGGCGCTGCGGGGCTCCGAGGAGCGCAGGGTAGCGGGGCGCGGGCGGCTAAAGGCGCGGCAGCATCCGCGCTCCGGGCGCAGGACACCGGCCCGGCCGGCGCCGGGGCGGCTGCGGGAGAAGGGCGGCGGGAGCGTGGGGGCCCGCAGCACGGGGAGGGCGAGCCCCGCGGCCCCCGGGAGCGCCGGCCGGGCCGGGAGGCGGGCGGCACCGAGTGTCCCCCAGCCCTGGGCGCCCCGGGCACCCCGGCATCGGGGCGGGCCGGCGTGGCGCTCGGAGGGATCCGCCACCAGCCAGGAAACTTTCCCGCCCGCGGCCCCAGCCGCCTCCCCCGGCCCGGGGCGGCAGGTCCCCGGCCCGCTCGGCCCCGCTGCCCTCTCGGGCCGCGCCCTCCCCTCACCTGGGCGAGAGCGGCGCCGGCAGCGCGGCAGGGTCGCGCTCCATCGCTGCGGCGGGGCGGGAGCAGCCGGCGGCGGTGACAGCTCCGCGCTAGGTGAGCGCCGCCGCCACTGGGCAGGCGCGGAAGCGGGCGGCCCCCGCGATGATGTGGCCCGTGATGCGCAGAGCCGCCGCCGCCACCGGCCGCTCCGGGCCGCCGCGCGGCGGGGGAGGGAGGAGCCGAGCGCCGCCGCCCCGCGCCGCCCGTGGGACGGGACGGGATGGGATGGGATGGGATGGGGCAAGGTGCCCGTGGTCACTCCCAGCCTGGTCCCCGGGGCGAGCCCCCGCTGCCCGCGCTGCGACACCCGCCGGCGTCCCCTTCCCGCTGCGCCCTGCCAGCCCCTCGGCGGTGGCGGGGGGCGAAGCTGCATCCCCGCCTCGCTGGTGCCCCGCAGCCGCGGAGACAAAGCGCTGGGGAGTGGGGCTCCAGGGAGCTCCCCGGGCAGCGCCTTTGCTTCTACTCGCTTTCTTGGCCATAGCACAGGAGTCGCCGTTTTGTACTGACTCCTGACTGCCAGCTACCAGGACATTGTCGCTCTTTCCTGCCAATTGGCAAAAAGCAGCTTCCTCAGGAATCCAATTTTGTAAAGTGTTTGTGTCAGTTGGAATATCCTTGTTCTTGCCCAACTGGACTGTACACCCTGCAAACAGCATGTAAGTCTGCGAGTTCCTCCCTTGACATTAGCTGCCTCTGTTTAAATAAGCGTGGAGCCAAGACCTTCCCGGACTCCTGTTTTGCAAAACACTTAATATTAACACTTTATATTAATACATTAAAACAGTAAAACCAGCTAATTTGTGCATTTATTATCAGTACTAGTATTATTCCTCAATTGTTGCTTGACACTTTGAAGTGGTGAGGATGCCTTAACTGGAAGGTGAAAGGGAAGAAAGGAGGAAGAGGATGAAAAGAGAAGATTTAATGATGGTGACAGCAGCCAAGCTCACAGCATCCCTTTTTCTGTCTGCAGAGAGAAAAAAAGACAGCACGGGCAAGTCACCAGGTGTCTGCCATGAACTGGAGCTAGCTGTGGTGGGAAAATGTATTTGCAGGACTGGGGCCAAAACATTCTGCACTACCAGAGTGAAACACAGGGTCGGCTCGAACACTCACTCAATACCAGCTTAAATGAATGAAGCAGCCCAAGCCTCGGAGCTGATAATTCAGTTGTCTCAAGCCAGTATTTACTGGGGATTTGGGCTGCAGATACTGGAGCTTCCCTACCCTAGTAGCAACCCAATATATCCATGGGCTGTGTGAGCTCAGGTGTTATTACACAGCATGGATACTTAGCTGGCTACCCTACAAATCAGATAAAGATCACGTCTGCCGTTGCTGCCAACAGGTGAAACTGTAAACCTGAGGTTTGGGAATAGCACCTGAGGGTGCTGTTTCTGGCTTTTCTAATTGCTTGTCTGGTTATTTTGGGCAATCACTTCATCACTCCCTGCTAGAGGTTCCTTGACAGCATTATGCCCCGCCCTCCATGGAAATCACACAATAGCCATGGACGAAATACATTGTTTGAGGTTCACACACAGTTATTTTGGATTGTGTTCAAATTCAGAAAGACTCACTTTTGAGGCCCAAGGCAAAAAAACCTCAGCCCTCAAGATTTTTCAGTCATTGACGCTAGTAAGGGGATTTTTCTGGGAAGTGGAAATTCTGGAGTGCAGTTGGGAAGAAAGGTGCAGGTAGCAAATTCAGTGGAATGCACCTGGCACAGTGGGTGGGCTGGGGAAGTGGCAGAGGACACTTGTGTGGGACAGTCTGTCAGGAAAACAGCAGGGTGGTCTCTTGCTTGAGGCCTTGCAGAGGTTTGCTTCTTACTTATGTTAATTCCAAGATACTGGGATCTGGGTGTTTTGGTTTTTTCCTGTGTTCTTTGCAATGAGGGTCTATAAACACCACTTACCTGATTACTATTTATTCTCATTTTCATATTGGACTTCCTATCTTGTTTCTTATAAACCATTCAATTTTCTTTTTGCAGTTTTCACATTGTCTAGATATGCAAGGACAGAAACTGCAGAAGAAATCCTGAATTAACAGACTGGACAGTGTCAGTTGAACTTGGTGGTTGTTTAAGTTTGTTTTCCAAAGGATGATTACAACTCCCTCAGGCTCTGGCATTTAAGTTCATTTATCAAATTCTGAAAATGAAAATGGGAGAGTTTTGAGAGATAAGCACCTACTGGCAGGCATTCAAATTATGTTACCTGTGGCAAGCACATTTCTCTCCCTCTCAGGATTTTTCATAGAGGTGCACAGAGAGAAATGTAAGAGAAAACAATTTCTATTTCTGCTCCTTGTTTTTCCTACGTGGAATGTGTTTGGAGAATTGTTTACCTGGATGAGTGCTTGATTGGATTCTGGCGAGGAATGTTTGAGCCTGATGGCCAATCCAATCCACCTGTGTCTGGTCTCGCAAGAGAGGGTCACCAGTTGTGGGAGAGTTAGAGTCAGAGAAAGTAGTATGTAGTTTTAGTATTCTCCTTTTATATAGCATATTAATGTATTTTAGCATAGTTATAATAAAGAAATAATTCAGCCTTCTGAATTGAGTCGGACATTGTCATGTCTTCCCATTGGGTTCACCTGCATTTACAATAGCTACCTGCTGGCAGCTTGGTCCCACAGGTTCTTAATGGTGATGGGATGGACTTTTTGTTCTGAATCAGTCAGGTTGGAAAGGAAAATAGTGGATCATTTGCTACAACCTCCCTGTTTAAGCAGCGTTGTCCTTGAGCACTTTACACAGAATTGTGTCCAAACAGTTTTTGAATATCTCCAGTGTGGGAGACTCCACATCTCTGGGCAATGTGTACTAAGTGCGTGGTCACCTGCACAGTAAAGAAGTTCTTCCTCATGTTCAGGTGGAACTTGCTGTGCATCAGTTTCTGCCTGGTTGCTTGGTACCACCAAGAAGAGCCTGGCTCCATCCTCTTGTCCTCGCTCTTTACATACTGAGGTTCATTGCCGAATCTCCCCTCAGCCGCCTCTCCTGAGGCCTCCAGCAGCCTCAGCCTTTCCTGCTCCTCCCGCCCGCCAGGGGGCGCGCAGCCGCCGAGCGCGGGGGCCGCTCCACTTCCGCGCGGGCGGGCGCATGGCGGGGCCCGGCGGCGCGGCGGCCCTGGCGGCCCGGGAGCTGCTGGACCTGCGGCCCCGGCCAGGTGAGTCCGGCACCGGCACCGGCACGGCGGGTCCGGCACCGCTTGCAGCCAGCGGGGGCTCGGCTCGGCCAGGCTGCCCGAGCCAGGGGCTCGTCGTGCCGCCCGTGACCCGCTGGTGATTGCGTCCCGCGTGTACTGAAGAGCTGCCCTCCAGGGAGGGGTAATGCGGGGTAGATAAGCGGGGCTGAGCTATGGGTAGTCCTAAGGACGTTTCTATGAGACCAGAGAAAAAAGTTAAATAGACAGAGCGCTGCGCTTTGATGAATGATAGCGGGCGGATGGCTCCGCTGGCCGTCATAAGGATAACGAGGATCATTAATGCCGAATTCCTGGCATCGTTTGGGTTTTCCGGCGCTGCTGCTGCCCGCAGTTAGCGGAGGTCACTGGCAGCGGGATTTAAATCGGTGCGACTGGCACGCCTCAGCTCCCACCTCACCGAGCCTCGCAGAGGGGAACTAGAGGTTGTTTTTCTATACGTTTTAACTTTAGCTTAATTAAACTGTCTCAAAAACAGCTTAAGGAACTTCAGCTTAAACTCAGGGAGTGTGTGAGAGGTGACCTGCAGGGTGAGACCCCTTGCCTGTGCAGCCCAGTTTTTCTTCCAAGAGCAGCAAAAGCAGATGGTAATTACGGAAAACTTGTCAGCTTAAGCAGTTCAATACTCAGTTTGCTTGTTTGCAGGGCTGGAAGACATTTTGCTGATTAATTCAAAATGTAGCAGCAAGAAGGCCACAACTTTACAGACTATTAAGGTGCCAAGGAGCAATGGTAAGTAAGGAGGAGTTGTCCCTGGAAGTGGTCAAGTAGTAGGTAACATTTGTGACACAGCTTTTGCTTTGGTGCTTTCCTTTAAAAGGTAAAGAGAGAAGCTTTTGGGTTCAGTTTCTAGATGTAGTAGGTCCTCCTCCCATTACAGTTCCATGTCCCAGTGGTGAGTCACATAAATGCTGCTGCTGCTGCTGCAAAATTAGATTTTGCAATGCTAGGCATTACAGCTCTTGAGTTTTAGGGACAGATAGTTCTTTCCCAGTATGGAGTTGTAGCTTGGGCTTCTTATCTCTTCTAGAAGTAATTTCTCAGTATGATATATTTGTTGTATAAAAGCATTTAATTTAAAAAGGACTCCTGTTTTATGTTTTTGATTGAGCTGAAATTTTAAAAGATTGTTAGATCAAATTCTTTATTGGATAAAAATCTCTACAAAGATGACAGTGTTTCAAAGATAGCTTATACTTGTTAGGCTTTGTGGTGCTCACCTGAAACAGTACCTCTTCTTAAAGAAAGAAAACTAGTGCTTGACTCATCTGCATGTGTGGAGCAGTATTTGAAGAAATTCTGGAGATGAAAATATTGTCTTTCTCCATGGAAGGGTTATGAGTGTGAATCTCATAATTCCATTGATTACCTTAAAATTCTTGTGAAGTCCCACTGAGCTGTAGAGGATGAGTGCTTTATACTTCAGCCTGGATTTTCCATCTTTCTCCCACTGTCTTAATTTCAGAACTTCTTTTGTTAATTATGTTGACCTTTCATTGGTCTATCACGGCATCTGCTACGGCCAATTTTTCCATCTTCTTTGAGACCTTCAGTCTATACTTAATTATTGTCGATAGTTAGAAATTACAGTTGAAACAGAATCTGTTATAAAGGCTCATATCTGAGGTATAAATGTGAACACTAATGAGCATCTCTTTGACTTATACATATATATATATTTATACTTTTATATATATATATAAATATATATATATCTGTGATAATTGTTTCTTTTCAGTTTTGGACCGAGTGCAGAGCTTTTTACCACAGATGGCCCAGGCAAATGATGAGCTCAAAAGAAAAATGGTAACAGCACCTGCTCATGAGTTTGATATTGAACATCTAGACAGTGAAACAGAAAAAGTTATAGAAATGGTAAATATGTTTTTTTTATTATTTTAATGTAAATGTAGATGGGATTAAAATAACTCTCTGATCTTAGAATGAGTAATACGATAGATAAAGTGAAGTCTCAACCATTTTCTTTACCATAGTCTTTGATCTTCTAATTCAAAACACAGATATAACAAACATGCTTATTTGGTTGAAATTTACATCCTGGTTTTCGTACTTGCAGAATTTAATCACTGGGGATAAAGTAGTTTAAGAACGGAATAAGACATGCTGTTGAATCTACAACTCTGAATCAACAAAGTCACAAATTCTATTTTAAATGTCTCCTAGGTGATTACGTTTAGAAACTGGACAATATAAAGCACAACAGAAGGCTTTAGAGTAAGAGTAATAACCGGCTTTCAGCTCTGCTCTGTTGGTATTTTTAGGAATGACTAGATCTTGGATTTAGAAGAGTTGTTAGTGTTGTTGTGATCCTTTGTTGCTGGAATTTGTCTATTTATTTGCAGTCACTTTAATATTTTATTTCTGGTTTTAACTGAAGTGCTGCAGGCATATGCTTATATAATAAAACTTTATTTTGAAGGCTATATATGTGCATGACCCAGCCAAATCCCTTCTGGCTAAGCAGGCCTCAAAATTTATGGCTCTGTATATGGATATATGAAATGTCTTCAAAAAATATCCTGGTGGTTTAAACTGCTTGTTATTTTAGAGTAGTTGTAGTGCCCTGAATACTACTACATTATAAGATATAAACTATATATATATATCTACATGTGTTTATATGTTTGTCATGAGCCCTTATACACTAAATGATTTAATTTGAATTTTTTTACTGAGAAGTAGTTTTGATGCCTGCTGCTTGTCAGTGTAAATACCTGATTTAGATAATCTGAGTTCAGCTATTGACTCAGTTCTTTCTTTGAAAGTGATATGAATATGGTCTTAGATTTCCTGTAGGCCAGTAATATTTAGGAATCTCTTAATAATATTTGTAAAATCCTAGGAAACCCCAAAGGTCTTTTTGTTGTGGTTGTTATTTTCTCATGGTAGCAGGCTGTTTAATGTATTCACCTTGTTTTACTCCAGTGATAGAAGTGCTGTAGTGTGTATATATATATATATATATATATATATATATGTAGTATATGTAATGTGCTAACCAAGATTTTTTGTTTCAGAATGTGGCTGTAGTTGAACTGAGTGATTCTGACACAGATGAAGAGTTGCTGACTTCAGAAGATGACTCGGAATCTGATGAAGATGACTCTGTAACTGATGAAGTGACAGTAGACAACATTAAGTTTCCTAAACAAAAGGGAGAAAAGGGCAAAATAGAAATTTTGGACAGCAAAGCAAATGAGTAAATCTGTTTTATTTTACTTTAAAAATCCCCAAACCAACCAAATAATGTTTTCTCACTTTGAAGAGTTGGCCCTTAAAACCACTTTGTTTCCCAGTGTAGCATCTCTCGTGATCCTGTGAAATGCTATAGTTTACGTGGTAGAGAATTCAGGATCCACTCATGGCTGGGGAAGGCTGGATTTCTGAAGAATTAAGTTTAATTCATCAAATAACAGGAAAATGGGCTTCAGAGTAGTTTACAGCAAGAAAACAGCTAGAGTAAGGGGCACTTGAAAGATAAACGTTCTTGTTCTGTTGCTTTGTTGAAGACTGTTTTTATAGGAAGATAGAAGTTTTTGCTTCAAGGGTAAGAAAGAGTTAACTAGGAAAAAAACTTTGTTTTCATATTCCATGTCCTGTGAGGTGTTATGTACACTTTTTCACTATTAAACATGATCTTTCAGTACCCCAGAGGTATGTCTACATTGCATTCATGCTGGACACCAGAGCCATGGCTGAGCTCATTTCTAGCTGAGCCAGCCTGGGTAAGGACAGCCATGAGCAGAGTTCAGCAAAGGGTGACTCAGTCCTTACCCTGTGTGCCTGCACTGGGCTCCACAGCAGCAGGGGAGCTTACAGGCTCCTCTGGGAAACCTTCCTGGCTGCAGTGCAAACACCTCCATACTAAAAGGATCAAGGCTGTCCCTGCGGGCTTGTGATGGCTTTAAGCTACACTTTGCATCGCCCAAATTCCCTGCCACGTTTCCAATTTCCATTTTGTTAACGGTCACTGACAGAAGGATGAAAAGGTGAATTTTCAGCTGGCCTGTACTTAAGTTGCCTAGACACAATTGTGGAACCAGAGTCAGTGAAAGTGTGTC